CACCAATGCTCTGGATAACATGAAAACAGCCTAACCAGCTCTGCTAGGGCAAGTAAAATGGTCAGTGAGAGAACATCCCACTGACCATTTTACTCGCCCTAGCAGAGCTGGTTAGGCTGTTTTCATGTTATCCAGAGGTAAACAATTAATTATAATCCCAATTTTGTGTCTGGAAGTAGATAGCAAGCTAGCCAATGTTAGCCAGTTAGCTTGGTTGCTTGACTGCCGTTGTGCACTCTGAACGCTTTGAGTGCGAAACGAGATGGATGGGGCTAAAGCTTAAGATGGTGTGAACGATGCTGAATGGGTGTAGACTAAGAAGAGCTCTTCACTAGGTACCAAAAACATTCAAAGGCCATTTTCTCAAAAGTGAGATTACAAGTTTATCAACTTTCAAAGCAGAATTACTTTCCCATTGTTCCCTTAAATGCAGTGTATGATATACCACTTGGTAGCTCTGTGTCTCTGCTTTTATCCAATGTAAAAAAATATATATATATATTCAAATGTTGCTACATAAAACCGATTCAAGGCGGTCGGTCACATTTGTTCAAGTTAAACTGCAGTTGACATTGTGTCCCATTCTCTGTTCATACATTCACATGTTCCTTGTCAGTAGTTTGGTGTGTGTTGAGGGTGGGGGAGTGATCTATGATGTCACTAACAAGAGGAGAACTCAAAATCTGTGGGGATTGGAGAACTTCCTCCATACCTCTACTTGTATGGGAACTGATTGGACTTCTATATGACGACATTGCTGATTAGAGTGAGAGGTTTGATGATGTACTTTGAGAAACCACCACGGTCTCACACTTGATTCTTTTAAAATTGTGACACTTCTACAGTTTGCCAAGGTGGTGTGGGTGTTGTGAAGCTAGACAAGACTAGGGTGCCACAAGAGGCTTTGAAGCCATTTTTTTGAAAATTCTTTAAACGTAATCTTGTCTTCTGTTTCCACACTGGAAGCGTCTGAAGGGCTGAGTAGGAGTTCATTCCTCCACAAGCCTCAGCTTTTCTTTTTCCTCTGCCTTTTCTTTTTTTCCACATTTACATTTTCTTGTGTGTCTAAACAGCACTGAAATGCTCAAATGATTACTTTACACTATTTACAGTGTGATTCAAGTATGAAAAAAAAAATAATAATAATAAAATGCACCCACTACCTGTAAGTCGCTCTGGATAAGAACGTCTGCTAAATGACTAAAATGTAAATGTAAGTTTATCTCAAAGTCTCTCGTTTCACGAGTCCTGTGCGGTGATAACTTATGCAGATTTAACACAAACAGCACACCAAAAATGTATGCACTGCAATCACGAGCAGCAGTATTCTCATTTTGGATTACATGTTGTTCTGTCTATTAAAAATATTTGCTATTTTGGACACCTATACACACTTGGAGGGCTGTTTAGCTGACTGAAGCCGAGTCCTACACTCTCTCTCATATTGGGAGATGCTTCAGTTCATCTATTATACAGGTAATTACCATTGCAGCATCTGACACTTGACCAATGGCAGTGGAGCCTTTCCAGCTCTTTCCATGTGAGAAGAACTCAAGAACACGATTGTAGTGGCAATAATTAACATTAACAACAGATGTCGGGCCATAACGTCTTGAGCGCCCACTCAAGAGTCAGTGAGCTTTGTAATTAGCGAGCACTTGCAAGGCAGCATGGGGTTTTATGTTCTCCAACTTAACACACTCTAACGTTATTATTGGGAACTCGATGTTATCGCGAAGGACTTGTTTAAAGGGGCAGAGATTTTGTAGAGAAAGTTCACTTGTAGTTCCCAAAACAAATGTAAAACTGGCACACTTCCATATTAGGACAATGAATCAAGATCAATTGTTGTCTTTCTAAGTGTGTGTTTTTTGCATGTGATTTGGATTTAAAGTTGTTCATAACCAGCAACTTGAAGAAGACACACTGCTGTGCACAGGGCTTCTACTTTTCAAATCAAATCAAAATTAATCTGTCACGTGCACAGGATACAGCAGGTGTAAACGCTATAGTAAAATGCTTACTCGCAAAATCTTTTCACCAATTTTTTTGGGATAATAAACCATAACTTGTTGCCTTTAAGTCAACTGTTACCAAATGGCTGATAATAAACCCTAACTTGTTGCCTTTAAGTAAAGTGTTACCGAAAGTGAATCTACATCCAAGTTGACTGTGGTTTATCTGGTTGTTGGCTTGGGCAGCCTCTAGTAACGGAATCGTTTATCTGGTTGTTGGCTTGGGCAGCCTCTAGTAACGGAATCGTTTATCTGGTTGTTGGCTTGGGCAGCCTCTAGTAACAGAAGTGCATTGTTCCTCACTTCTCCAGACAGTGAGAGTGGAATAACTTGTTGAGCTCAAGGGCCTTAGGCCAGCTCTTGAAGGATGAGAGAGTGAGTCTTGTTGTTGCAGCTGATCTCATGATCTGATTGGTTTTTAAATCAAGGCTGCTTATTGATTGCCTCTAATTAGCCTATAGAGATAATAGCCTATTGCCTATAGACAATAACTTAAGGATCATAACAGCCTGTAGTCCATCATAATGACATATGCCAGACGATCGTAATGATGGGTGGAAGTGCAGTGCAGGTCTATATCTCAATGTAAATGATACCATTCTTCTCTTCTGACATTCATTTGGTTGCAAGGACCTGGGCAGCCCCTTGCTTTATGCACAGTAATTGCGGGACACATTTTACAAGAAGTCAATTTCAGTTTGCATGAAGAATGGCAGTGTGTCATGGTGGAGGGTTTTTGTAATAAAGAGACAAGAGATTGAAACTGAGTGTGTGGAGCTCAGAGGCAGCCAGGCGTAGAAAAATGAAATATAAATGGGAAAATAATGGAGCTTTTGTTTCTTAGTGTCACTGCAAACTTTTGCATCACAGTCAAAATACGTTAATTCACTCTAAAGAACACTTGTAAATTAAAACAGAACACATTTGCAGACAAAAGGGTATCATTATTGATGAAAACAGGCATTCTAAGACTGCGAGTCTGTTTCCCATTTTAAGAAACAAGCTGTTCTGTTACACTCAACCTGCGGATAGGCTAACACTTGTGTACATTTTAATAGATTTCTCTCATTATGAAATCAACACATTTCCGTGACAGTTAAATGTCTGATGACACACAACGCCAGTCTGCAAGTGGCCTATACATGTCTAATACGCTTCCTGATAAATGCCTGGATTCTGAATTAATATTGAAAATTAAGTTAATTGCATTTGTACAAGGCTAAATGACTAATGGAGTTCCACAATTAAATGCCCAGCATTTTTATGGTTCGCAAAGCCACTGTAAATTCACTAGACCCAATTGAGATAAAGTACCCTGTAAAGCTGTGATCCAGGACTGAACTAGAGAGATAGGCTCCAATCTCTTTCTGCTGGACCTATTCTTTGTTCATTGATGGTTAGATGACTGTCAGAGTAGTTCACGTTCTACAGTACGTTCACTCTAAGACATGAGTCTGAATGTAGAGGGAAACCAGGAAGGCAGATGTGGATGGATGTCTTTCTTTAAGAAGATTATCCATCCCAGAATGGTTTTCTTTCTTTTAGAAGATTATCCATCCCAGAATGGATGTCTTTCTTTTAGAAGATTATCCATCCCAGAATGGATGTCTTTCTTTTAGAAGATGATCCATCCCAGAATGGATGTCTTTCTTTAAGAAGATGATCCATCCCAGAATGGATGTCTTTCATTTAGAATATTATCCATACCAAAATGGATGTCTTTCTTTAAGAAGATTATCCATCCAAGAATGGATGTCTTTCTTTAAGAAGATTATCCATCCCATAATGGTTGTCTTTCATTTAGAAGATTATCCATCCCAGGTGATTTATATGTACTCTACATGGAGTCAATAGTCTAATCAGGGGACAGTTTGTAAACAAAAGATTGAGATAGATGACTTTGGTCAAATCAATGCCGAAGCCCCACCAATTCTCTTGACATCATCATCCACAGTTGTCTATTAATAGTACTGATCACAGTTTGGCAGAAAGTATTCTATTGGAAGTATTGGCTTCTCGTAAGTCATTATCTACTTGACAGAAAACTCTCTAGTTCAGATGTTGTAGCTCCTGTACCTTTTCTACCTTATTTCAAGTCTCCAGTGGAGCCGACAGCTTTCAACTCCTCTGAAGGTGTTTCTTTAATGGACTGGTTTGAAAGATGCTCTGCTGCACTGCTCAGGCCTGTCGTCAGCACACTTTCCCGGGAATAAGTCCATTTGGCCTTCGATGAAGATTAGATAAATTATACCCTCTGAAAATCAATGCCCAGTCCATGATGTAGGCTTTGGGCTGAGTGTTTTGCTATGGTGCCAGAATACTGCCACCAGAGCCAGAATGTGGGCATGTTCAACCTGAAGCTGTGTCCCTTTTTGATATCTCTGTGTTTTCACTTCATTGAGAGTCTACTATTTGAAGGTTTGTTTTGGGTATAAAGACACCAGACATTATGTTTCATTACCCTGTCGAGTGAACACTGTCTTTTTTTTTTTAGGTGATGATTTAGAGTTATTGCCGGTTCAATGTAATTTATGAGTAATAATTTGTTGCGGTCAGTTGTCAATTTGTCGAAGAGTATAAACATTCTGTTTCATACTGTTTCTTATGACTGAAAATTGAAATAACTTTTTATTTCATTGATCCTTTTCACAAAGCTTTTCATAGATTCTAAATGTACAGAATGGGGACAAAATAGGTTTTCCTTCATTTTAGCCGATATTGGTATGTCTTTGCTGCTTATCGATGTAGCTATCAAACATTTATAGCCATCCATGGATGACGCTGCATTTACACCCAAAGTGTACTTTTGAGTGCACCGTACTCAAGGAATGCCAGAGGCTTTCTGACTAGTTATATTTCCTCCTCGAACATTTGTTAGTGTCACACTCTTAGAGACCCACAATGCATTGCTGTCCACTTTTCAAACGTCTTTTCAGCTTTGTCCCTGTTTTTTTAAGAGTATTTTTGTTTTCTCTGTTTTCTTAGATGGAAGTGATACCAGAGCCGGATCCAGACGACGAAGGGACTAAAATAAGTGTAGGTTACTACATGTACAGAATGTGTTTGGTGTCCATATTAGGACATCAAATAAAATCAAATGTATTTACATCGGCAGATGTCACAAAGTGCCTATACAGAAACCCAACCTAAAACCCCAAACAGCAAGCAATGCAGATGTAGAATATGGACACCATAAGCTTGTGACGGCATAAGTATGGACACACAAAACCATCACCATGTGCATGTTACCGTTGTGTCGTTACATGGTTCTCTGTACTGCACCACTGTTCGCACCTGCATCGTTCGCTGAACACCTCTACATCTCCCTACAGACGGTGAAGGTACAGGGAAACGACATCTCCCACAAACTGCAGATCTCCAGGGTGGGGAAGAGTGACGAGGGCCTGTACGAGTGCAGAGTCACCAACGCCAACTACGGAGAGCTGCTGGAGTACAAGGTCCAGGCCTACCTGAAGGTGAACAGCACCCGGCCCCGCATCAGACCGGCCAAGAAGACATCGCCCCTGTCCCACCTGACAGCAGATAAGAAGCCCCGCAGCAAGACAGGCGCCACAGCAGCACAAGACAGCATGAGCACCGACCTGAAGGTTCGCTCTACCTCCAGCTCTCAGACGTCATCAGCCAAGACAATCAAACAGAGTTCAGGTGAGATAACGCCGCCAGAGACTCTTCGGGTTCCGGTACTCGCAGTTTGATGTTTCATGGAATTTATGTGGACTTAATCATCAGCCAATCCATCTATCAATTTTTTTTTGTCTTTTTTTTTTGCCTGTATGTCAGTCTGTCTGTTTCTCTACCTGTCCATCTGCCTGTATGTCAGTCTGTCTGTTTCTCTACCTGTCCATCTGCCTGTATGTCAGTCTGTCTGTTTCTCTACCTGTCCATCTGCCTGTATGTCAGTCTGTCTGTTTCTCTACCTGTCCATCTGCCTGTATGTCAGTCTGTCTGTTTCTCTACCTGTCCATCTGTCTGTATGCCTTTCAGTCCAGGCTGCAAAGATTTTTCACATTGCCGTACCAGTAAACCATGGCAATTTTTTGCCAAGTAGGAATTCAGTGAATTCTGCATGACGTACCTGTGCAGAGAAGACCAATGTGTCAGCTCTAGTTAACTCACAGTTTGCGTACATTGAAGCTCTTAGATCACTTCATTAAAATATAATACATGTCCCAGAAGTGAGATGGACCAAAAGGCCTTCACAACTTTGTTTAAACTATGTGGCAAGTCGCCAACCCGCTCTGGGAAAATAACTATACTGAACAAAAATATAAATGCAACATGCAACAATTTCAAAGATTTTACTGAGTTACAGTTCATAGAAGGAAATCAGTCATTAGGCCCTAATCTATGGATTACACATGACTGGGCAGGGGCACGACTGGGCAGGGGCACAGCCATGGGTGGCCTGGGAGGGCATAGGCCCACCCACTAAGGAGGCAGGTCTACCCACTGGGGAGCCAGGCCCAGCCAATCAGAGCGAGTTTTTCCCCACAAAAGGGCTTTATTACAGACAGAAACATTTCTGGGATCTTTTATTTCAGATCATTGAAAATGGGACCAACATTTGTTTATATTTTTGTTCAGTATACTTTCATACCAATTTCCCAAAATGATCATACAACTTCAAACACACAGAAGATCGAATACCCCTGTGTCCTATCCGACATGGCTGAGTGTTGGACTACACAGAGAACGGGGAACATTTGTGAAATGGGTGAATGACACCTAGCTGCAGTGCCATCTGGTACCACCAAATCCCAGCAGGGATTTTCTAGACAAATCAGACTGTTATCGTATTTCTTCAGTAGGCCACAGCCACAGCCAGCGCCATCATGTAGGCAGATAGATGGCGCAAGGCCAGCTCTCTCCTAATCTCAGTTTCCCCAGAATTTTAGTCTTTGGGAATTTGGTCAGCTTTGTGATTAACTTCTGGGTCTATACTTGTAGGAAACTCTCAGCCAAAGTACCCCCCCCCCCCCTTCCGATTCGTGTGTGCACATGCGCAAAACACTCGAACCCGAAAGACAGTTTAAGCACTTCCTCCACCCAATCCTGATAGGTCCATAATAATCAGTGACGAAAACCCAAAGACCGGAACTAATGCTGCTCCTTATCTCACGCATCCCATTCAGTCCCGGCAGATTCTTCGGTCTACATACAGAATCTGCCCATGGGAGATTACCCATGGCCTGGGTGATGCACCCTCCCTCAAGGTGATGCACCCTCCCTCAAGGTGATGCACCCTCCCTCAGGGTGATGCACCCTCCCTCAAGGTGATGCACCCTCCCTCAGGGTGATGCACCCTCCCTCAGGGTGATGCACCCTCCCTCAGGGTGATGCACCCTCCCTCAGGGTGATGCACCCTCCCTCAGGGTGATGCACCCTCCCTCAGGGTGATGCACCCTCCCTCAAGGTGATGCACCCTCCCTCAGGGTGATGCACCCTCCCTCAAGGTGATGCACCCTCCCTCAGGGTGATACACCCTCCCTCAGGGTGATGCACCCTCCCTCAGGGTGATACACCCTCCCTCAGGGTGATGCACCCTCCCTCAGGGTGATGCACCCTCCCTCAGGGTGATGCACCCTCCCTCAGGGTGATGCACCCTCCCTCAAGGTGATGCACCCTCCCTCAGAGGTCACTCACTCTGCCCTGCATTCCATTAGACAAAATATTGATTAAACTAGAGACTCAGTTAGACTGTACCGGTCCCCCCCCCTGTATATAACCTCCCTACTGTTATTTTATTTTACTGCTGCTCTTTAATTATTTGCTTAAAAAAATTTTTTACTTAACACTTTTTTTATTTTGTCTTTTGATTTTTTTTAAACTGCATTGTTGGTTAAGGGTTTGTAAGTAAGCGTTTCACTGTATGTCTACACATGTTGTGTTTCGGCGCATGTGGCAAATACAATTTGATTTGATTTGATTTGACTGTAACGCTTGATAGTGGACCAGGTGACGTTACTATGCACAACTCAAAGCCATTTGAGTCCTGTTATAGTAACAGTAAAAGTACCTGGTGTAGTATTTTAGTTGTGCTCATGTTTTAGCCTTATTTATTCAATCCAGAGTTTGGTTGTGACAATTCATGTTTTTTTTTTAAAAGCTTTTCCTGTGATACACTTTTTAAATGTTTCTCTAAGAATTACATTTCGGCTATATTCAGGGGTGTGATAATGTTTTTAAGGTGGGGCTAGCATGGGATGGTGTGAGATATCCACTGCAAATCATCAGTGCAGTCTCCATCGGCAGTGCAGCGTAGCCCACCCTCCAAGTCTGTGAGCTGATTAATGATTCTCCATGCGGAGGATGTTTTGGCCTAGCGAGATTGCTGCTCCTCTGTGGTGCTCCTGTTCACTTGATCACCCCGGGCCAAATTAAATCTGGCAGGGAAGAACAGCGGGTCACAGGCCTCCGTCTTTTTCCTCCTCCTGATATTGAGCCGAACCAAAATGTCCCCAGACGATTCCCCTCTTAGAACATTGCTGTGCTTGGTCTGACAGACAAATCCAGTAAATGTCACCATGATTTAGGGAATATTTCATTTTCCATTTCCTTGTTTCGGAGGATTACATTCTTGCTCTTTTGCCTCCCGGCCACTTTTTTCAGTCCCGGCAGGTACAAGAACAGGTTAATCTGGTTTCTTTTGATGCGTTTTGGACCTTTGATCCAGTTTTAGTTTGTGTGTTCCAGGGTGATTTAACAAAATAAAAGCTTGCGTTAAGATACGCTAGAGCAAGTACCATTGCCATTCAGAATATCTCCCCATCTCTCTCTACTGTACTATACGTTCTGCATCATTATCCTTAGTACAGAAATGCCTCGATGCCTTTTCCCTGTTTTCTCACTCTTATCAGTTCAAGGACAATGTCCCCGAGACACAAATAAACCAAATTTTCATAAGACTACCAGGCTATTCAATATCACACAGTTGTCAGACAGTGTGGGTTGCTCAAAATGCAATGGAAACTGACTGCAGAACATACAGCAGCTTGACAAATTCAGGCAATGGTAGCTGTCCATGTAAATCCTTTCACGTCAGTTAAAAGACCGTTTGTACTTCCTGTAGTTTAGGGTAAAGATTCTATCCTCATTTCTGTGGGTGTTTGGTGTAGTCAGTGTTCATTTGAATACATTTAAATGGATTTACTCACATTTGAAAGCTAGAGGCCTTATCCAGCCTGGCAGACATATATAATGCATATTTCATATGCCATATGCATATTTAATTTCAGAATCAGATCATTCCATATGTGCCCAATGTAATATGATGTTTCAGACTAGTGCCATGATAGCTTTTGCATGTATTTCTCCTCAGCAGTTCATAATTGTTAAAGATAACAACTGTGCACATATTTTGTGTGAAATGAATGCATATTCTATATAACAATGGATGAATACCAACCTCCCACCCAATGTACAGCTTTGTAGGTCCAAAAGACATACATTACACCAATAAGTGTTTTTATCAGTGATAAAAATGAATGGAAGATAAGCACATTACATGTGTTGACCGTATGCCTTTTTTTCACAGGTACGAGGATAGCTACAAGCTTTGGACTCACCATCCTGATTCTTGCCTGTGGCTTTATGAGGGACACCTTGCTATAGTTTCAAGCATTGACTCTTCCTCACAGTATCACTCCCTCTTCTCGAAGCAAAGAGAAAATGGCCTGTTATTACCACCAAGCGGACGACACAGTTGGCCCTAATTTTCCACTACTCTGCACCCAATGCATTCTTATTACCCATTGTACACAAGAGGCACCTTCTCAAAGGCCAGCGGCGGGATTACCTGTTGTGTCGACGTTTCTTCAACGCTCCCAGAAATCGAAACAAAATGGAAACTGACATTGTCTCCTTGGAATATCTTTATTTTGGTTTCCTGCAGTGAATCTATTGTGTCATTGCTTAAAGTAAAAAAAAGATATATATATATATATATATATATATATATATATATATATACAGTGGGGGAAAAAAATATTTAGTCAGCCACCAATTGTGCAAGTTCTCCCACTTAAAAAGATGAGAGAGGCCTGTAATTTTCATCATAGGTACACGTCAACTATGACAGACAAAATGAGAATTTTTTTTCCAGAAAATCACATTGTAGGATTTTTAATGAATTTATTTGCAAATTATGGTGGAAAATAAGTATTTGGTCAATAACAAAAGTTTCTCAATACTTTGTTATATACCCTTTGTTGGCAATGACACAGGTCAAACGTTTTCTGTAAGTCTTCACAAGGTTTTCACACACTGTTGCTGGTATTTTGGCCCATTCCTCCATGCAGATCTCCTCTAGAGCAGTGATGTTTTGGGGCTGTCGCTGGGCAACACGGACTTTCAACTCCCTCCAAAGATTTTCTATGGGGTTGAGATCTGGAGACTGGCTAGACCACTCCAGGACCTTGAAATGCTTCTTACGAAGCCACTCCTTCGTTGCCCGGGCGGTGTGTTTGGGATCATTGTCATGCTGAAAGACCCAGCCACGTTTCATCTTCAATGCCCTTGCTGATGGAAGGAGGTTTTCACTCAAAATCTCACGATACATGGCCCCATTCATTCTTTCCTTTACACGGATCAGTCGTCCTGGTCCCTTTGCAGAAAAACAGCCCCAAAGCATGATGTTTCCACCCCCATGCTTCACAGTAGGTATGGTGTTCTTTGGATGCAACTCAGCATTCTTTGTCCTCCAAACACGACGAGTTGAGTTTTTACCAAAAAGTTATATTTAGGTTTCATTTGACCATATGACATTCTCCCAATCCTCTTCTGGATCATCCAAATGCACTCTAGCAAACTTCAGACGGGCCTGGACATGTACTGGCTTAAGCAGGGGGACACGTCTTGCACTGCAGGATTTGAGTCCCTGGCGGCATAGTGTGTTACTGATGGTAGGCTTTGTTACTTTGGTCCCAGCTCTCTGCAGGTCATTCACTAGGTCCCCCCGTGTGGTTCTGGGATTTTTGCTCACCGTTCTTGTGATCATTTTGACCCCATGGGGTGAGATCTTGCGTGGAGCCCCAGATCGAGGGAGATTATCAGTGGTCTTGTATGTCTTCCATTTCCTAATAATTGCTCCCACAGTTGATTTCTTCAAACCAAGCTGCTTACCTATTGCAGATTCAGTCTTCCCAGCCTGGTGCAGGTTTACAATTTTGTTTCTGGTGTCCTTTGACAGCTCTTTGGTCTTGGCCATAGTGGAGTTTGGAGTGTGACTGTTTGAGGTTGTGGACAGGTGTCTTTTATACTGATAACAAGTTCAAACAGGTGCCATTAATACAGGTAACGAGTGGGGGACAGAGGAGCCTCTTAAAGAAGAAGTTACAGGTCTGTGAGAGCCAGAAATCTTGCTTGTTTGTAGGTGACCAAATACTTATTTTCCACCATAATTTGCAAATAAATTCATTAAAAATCCTACAATGTGATTTTCTGGATTTTTTTTTCTCAATTTGTCTGTCATAGTTGACGTGTACCTATGATGAAAATTACAGGCCTCTCTCATCTTTTTAAGTGGGAGAACTTGCACAATTGGTGGCTGACTAAATACTTTTTTCCCCACTGTATATATATATATATATATATATATATATATATATATATATATATATATATATATATATATATATATATTTGTGTAATATATAAAATGAGTATATATAATTGTTTTATTTCAAACACCTGGAACTGTGTATAGCTTACATTCGCTATGTTTTCACTATTATGAAACTACATTGTGCAAGGTTATTCATGCTCACCCCAAAACAAAATAACAACCATACCAACTAAAAATACAACAACATGATGTATAGGCTTAGTTGGAATGAGGGCAACTCGACAATTCATTATTTTATCATCCATATACACTACCGTTCAAAAGTTTGGGGTCACTTAGAAATGTCCTTGTTTTCCATGAAAACATACATGAAATGAGTTTGAATAGGAAATATAGCAAAATGCATAGGAAATGTAGTGATTGACAAGGTTGGAAATAATGATTTGTAATATAAATAATAATTGTGTCCTTGAAAACTTTGCTTTCGTCAAAGAATCCTCCATTTGCAGCAATTACAGCCTTGCAGACCTTTGGCATTCTAATTGTCAATTTGTTGAGGTAATCTGAAGAGATTTCACCCCATTCTTCCTGAAGCACCTCCCACAAGTTGGATTGGCTTGATGGGCATTTCTTACGTACCATAAGGTCAAGCTGCTCCCACAACAGCTCAATAGGGTTGAGATCCGGTGACTGTGCTGGCCACTCCATTATTGTCAGGCTGATGTGGATGTGGTGTAGGAGTCAGGCGCAGGACACAGAAGCTACTTCCAACAGACTTTACTGGAAGACACGATAACACAAAGAAACGGGCCTCAACAAAACAAGGAGGCGAGCGATTACGCAACAGTGCGCAAAAACACTCCAATGGCACAAGACTACGCAAAAGTGCGTCAGTACACGAAAAAACAGTGGAGCAAAAATACAGCACCTACGGACAGGCGGAACAATTACACACAACTCACTACAAACAAAACGAGACACATATAGGGAACATAATTAACACTAACAGGAAACAGGTGAACAAGGAAGACAAAACCAAACAAACATCGATAACATACAACGGTGGCAGCTAGTACTCCGGGGACGACGACCGCCGAAGCCTGCCCGAGCAAGGAGGAGGAGCAGCCTCGGCCGAAACCGTGACAGTACCCCCCCCCCCTTGGACGCGCGGCTCCAGCCGTGCGCCGACCCCGGCCTCGGGGACGACCAGGAGGACACGGAGCAGGGCGCGTGGGATGACCACGGTGGAACTCAGTCAGGAGAGATGGATCTAGGATATCCGTCCTAGGCACCCAGCACCGTTCCTCCGGACCGTACCCCTCCCACTCCACGAGATACTGGAGACCCCCCATCCGGCGTCTCGATTCCAAGATGGACCGAACTGTGTACGCCGGAGCCCCCTCGATGTCCAATGGGGGCGGAGGAGTCTCACTTATCTCACAGACCTGGAGTGGACCAGCTACCACCGGCCTGAGAAGAGACACATGGAACGAGGGGTTAATGTGATAATCAATAGGCAGTTGTAACCTGTAACACACCTCGTTCAACCTCCTCAGGACTTTAAATGGCCCTACAAACCGCCGACCCAGCTTCCGGCAGGGCAGGCAGAGGGGCAGGTTTCGAGTCGAGAGCCAGACTCGATCTCCAGGTGCGTACACCGGACCCTCACTGCGGTGGAGATCGGCGCTCGCCTTTTGTCGACGGATGGCCCGCTGCAGATGGACGTGTGCAGCGTTCCACGTCTCCTCCGAGCGCCGCACCCACTCATCCACCGCAGGAGCCTCGATCTGGCTCTGATGCCATGGTGCCAGAACCAGCTGATACCCTAACACACATTGGAAAGGGGTTAGGTTGGTGGAGGAGTGGCGGAGAGAGTTCTGTGCCATCTCTGCCCAGGGGATATACCTCGCCCACTCCTCCGGCCGGCCCTGGCAATAAGATCTCAGAAACCTACCCACATCCTGGTTCACTCTTTCTACCTGCCCATTGCTCTCTGGGTGGTAACCCGAGGTAAGGCTCACCGAGACCCCCAAGCGTTCCATGAACGCCCTCCAGACTCTGGAGGTGAACTGGGGACCTCGATCAGACACTATATCCTCGGGCACCCCGTAGTGCCGAAAGACGTGGGTGAACAGTGCCTCAGCGGTCTGTAGAGCAGTAGGGAGACCCGGCATTGGAAGGAGACGACAGGCCTTAGGGAACCGATCCACAACGACCAGTATAGTGGTATTTTCCTGAGAGGGGGGAAGGTCTGTAACGAAATCCACCGAGAGGTGAGACCAGGGTCGTTGTGGAACGGGCAGGGGTTGTAACTTCCCCCTGGGCAGGTGTCTAGGCGCCTTACACTGTGCGCACACCGAGCAGGAGGAGACATAAACCCTCACATCCCTGGCTAACGTTGGCCACCAGTACTTAGCGCTAAGGCAGTGCACCGTCCGGCCAATACCTGGATGTCCAGAGGAGGGGGACGTATGAGCCCAATAAATCAGCCGATCCCGAACCTCGAGCGGAACGTACGCCCGACCCACAGGACACCCTGGGGGACTAGGGTCGGTACGCAACGCCCGCTCGATCTCCGCATCGACCTTCCACACTACCGGTGCCACCAGACAAGACTCCGGCAGTATGGGAGTGGGCTCAATGGACCTCTCCTCTGTGTCATACCGCCGGGACAGGGCGTCTGCCTTACCATTCTGGGACCCAGGGATGTACGTGATTTTAAATACGAACCGGGTTAGAAACATGTTCCACCGAGCCTGACGAGGGTTCAATCTCCTAGCTGCCCGGATGTACTCCAGGTTACGGTGGTCAGTCAAAATGAGAAAAGGGTGTTGAGCCCCCTCAAGCCAATGCCTCCACACCTTTAGGGCCTGTACCACGGCTAACAGCTCCCTGTCCCCTACGTCATAATTTCGCTCTGCTGAGCTGAGCTTCTTGGAATAAAAAGCACAGGGGCGGAGTTTAGGTGGCGTGCCGGACCGTTGCAACAGTACGGCCCCACACCGGCCTCTGACACGTCCACCTCTACCTGGAATGGTAAAGAGGGATC